ACTGTGGTTATTACTATGGATCTAGATAATTAAAAGAGAATGAAAAATGGTTATAGCCCCAGAAGGGCAACTGTCGGTCTCTCACTGAGTCAATGAAACACGGGAATTGAAAATGCTTTACGCATCATCTGTGACCAATGTAAAAGCCCTTCCATAATTTTAGCTGTAAGTTGACTAAAAACAAATCAGAACACCTTCTGGAAGATGACAGCTGCTCAACAAACCTAAAGTATCTAAACAAATTTAAAGTTGAAGAAAGATACACTCAAGGACACTAAAGACAATCTGAAAAAAATGGAAAATATAATCTACTAATTAGATGATGTGTTTATTCATGGAACACACCTCCCCAAAATAAATAGCTCATTAAAATGAATGTTTACCTTTACTGTAAATTTATGCACATCCTACTTCTTAAAAGTTAACGGCATAAATATTACTGTATCTTTATATAATGGAAGCTAACAGAATACCTTAGTACTTTGATAGTAAATTATAAAATGGGTAGAATATATCTTTATGTTATAGAAAATGTTTTAAGTTATTCTGTACACTACTTAAAAATGATTTTAATTATTTAAAACTGCATGTGACTATTATTCTTCTACAGAAAATGTTCTTGAAGCTTCAAGGAACTGTAAGCTCTTTCCCTTTGACAATTCAAAATTTAAATGCCTACTTTGTTCTACGTTGCCTGCTTGTTTGAAGGAGATATAAATATTCTAAAAATTATACATAATATCATTTTATTATAAATATAAATTTTGGAGTATAAATACATGTAAAGATAATACTTAATTTCAAAATTCACAATTTAAATATGACTTTTAATCACATGAAAACATATAATTTACAAGGAAAACAACAAATATGCTTTAGACTGACCAATGTTTAAAAATTACATTTCTACAATGCCCATTCTTTCACACTAAAAGCCACTTTGGCACTTTATTTCTAGTGTCTGTTTCTGTGGAAGTGCCTGGAATAGTAGGGACAGGAACCTGGCTACTTGCCCATCATCAATGGTCGTGCAGTTTGCTTGCTGAACAGTCAGGTATCCCATCCACATCTCAGTACATTTGGAAGTTTAATAGTCATCTAAACTTAACAAGTCCAGTCCCAGTCCAAACTTGCCCCTCCATTAGTCTTCCCCACATAAATTAAGGCTCGCTCACTGAGAGATCTAATGATGTAAATGGAGGGCAAGGACTTTGGAAATCAAAAAGGGTTCTAGGGTTTTCCTTGACATAGTTTGTACAGGGTGGTGCTTTTGAAAAAATGGGGAGTATTCAGAGAAGACCAAGTTTTCTGGAGAACAAAAGTTCTTTTTTAGACATCACAACTTGAAGAAGCCTATTAGATATTCAAGCTCAGGGGAAATGCCAAGGGTAAAGTTATCACCACATGGAGAGTACTTAAAATTGGAGAAAGAATGAGGCCAAGAGAGAAAGTGTAGGTGTGGGAGCTAGAGTCCAGGAGCTGTCTATTATCCAGAAATCTAACCCAAGAGGAATAGTAACTGAAGATGCTGAGAGGGACGAGTGTGGGAGTCAGCATGAAAACAAGGAGTCAGAAGAGCAAACAGAAGCTGAGGAGTGAAGAAAAGCAGAATCTATAAATGTTTCTGGTGGTGGACATGGGAATTGGCTGATAACTCTAAGAAGAGCAGTCTCCTTTCAAAGGAGAGGGAAGGGAGAAAGGAACTCCATTGCTGGGAAGAATGGGAAGAGCAAGTACCTGTGAGTCTGACCAGCTCTTTGCCCAACTTTTCAGTGAAAAACAGTGGGGCATAAGGAAAGAGCACAGACACGGTGGGGAGTTCTCTGGACAAGAAAGGAAATTGTTTTTTAACTAATGGAAGTTGCTGAAGCACATTTTCTAGGCTGAAGAGAACCATTCTATAAGAGTAATAGACACCTACCTAAATTAGAACTTTAAAATTCTCTTAACTAATTTAATTTAAAATCCTTCTGGTTCTTTGACCTATGAAATTGCACTCTATAAAAATGCAAATTAGTAAGACATTAAGAATTTTTAAATTATCTGGATTTTAATATGCATTTATTTTATGATGACCTTGTTTGAAAAACATAGTAAAACATACATTTTGATAAATCTGTTTTTCCAGAGGAAGAATACATAATTAGCAAATTATATACTTAAACACAATCTAATTTAAAGCAGTTATCCTAGGCCATGCTTACTTATCTATCATAAGGAAAAGGATTTTGGCCTAAATCATGAGTCATATAGTTGTAAATTACTGGTAAATTATATGTTGAACTACAAAAATAGAGATTATGTCCTTAGAATTTTTCTTTAAAATAATGTGTGATTCACTTGTTGCATTTGAGTTTTTTGAGTTAACCAGATCTGATACAAATTTTTTCTGTGATTCTCAAGGTGTCTGAGCTGTGTGTGTATGTGTGAGTGTGTAGTGTGACAGAGAGATAAAGGAACAATAACTGCCTAAGTGACACGAAGGTCGGAGATAGTGTGTCTAAAGCAGATGAATCTTGGCATTTATAGGTGCTTAGTAAAGATTCTTATTATTGATATTCCATTCACTATTATTGTCATTACTATTACTATATTTTACAAATTAAGAAAGCTATATACCATAGTTGAAGAACTTTCTTTTCACTGAAGGTAATTGCCAATCCAAAATAAATAAATAAATAAATAGATGGTAATTTTTTAACAAAGCTTTTTTCTTCCCTCAAGAAGCATATAACTTAGTCAATAAACATTTCATTGAAGATCTACTTAGTACAGAGCCTGTTTTTCTGTGTATGGCAGGGACATAATTTGATTTTAAAATTAAGAAAAGAGACTTTGAAAACTTTTGAGAAATATTAAGAGTTTTAAATTGAATTTTATATTATTACTACTAAGGATTGATAGTATAGAATAAGAATGAAGAGAAGGAAGTGGTAGAACAAAATAGGTAGGAGACACATAAACACATGGCAAAGAAGACATGGTGGTGCACAGATGCAGAGACATGTTGAAAATGAAGCAGACAGGCAAAACAAACAAACAAACAAACAAACAAACAAACAGGTAAATGACTTGTTCCAAAGTGAGAACTTTTCCATACTTTTCTTTGCAGGTATGTTATCCTAAGAGATTAGATAGCATATATCCTTTCCACTGATGTTTCATTTTTCTGCTTCCTAACTCATAAAGCTAGATCCTCCTCTACTGATAAGCCAGCTAGTAAAGATTATGACAGAAATTATTCCCTGTATTGCAGTAGCTGTCATCAGGGCAGCTATATTTCCAGAGGCTAGAAGTCCAGATTTTATCTTTGACTAAGAACTAAATGTTTCCTTCTTCCTCTTCTCCACATTTTTATTTGACAAAAGTTTTTCCTTTACCCTCCACTAAATTGTCAGACTGACCAAGTTTTCCTATTCTTGCTGTGAAACACACAAGTTGTGCTTATAAGCTACACTCCAACCACTCAGAGCTCTCCAATCATAGTCAAGTAAATAAGCACCTGCTCCCATCAGCCAAGGTCCCTGACTGCAACAGTCAAAGCAGTTTGATATTAAACCTGTTATAAACCTGTTGTGTTTTCCACTGTAATGTGATTAAATATTAATTAAGGTGATGAAATACAAGTATGATACAATCACTGTCAATAATTAATGTTATAAAAAGGTGGTAAGAGCATCTTCCAAGTGCCTGAAGTTCTTATTTTAGATTGAAGAAATAACAAATTAAAAATATAGATGAAACATTGTTGGCATAACTTACGTAAGAAATACAGTGCAGAATACCAATGAACAGACAATTTAAGAAAAAGTCATGACCTTATATCAAAACACTAGCATGTGTATGCATATACACTTGTCTGAAGTTAAAACAGAACATTAACACGTGTTTATTATTTTATGTTTCCCTTTATGTATTCATTAACCTACTGATTTGGGTCATGGCAACTAAGATCCTGTTATGCTCCTTAAAAATATGAAAAATGAGGAAAGATCAAAATATCATGAATGGAAGAAGGCATAAAACTAAGAAAGAGTATTTCAAATTTTAGAAGGTAAAAGAGGAATATCTGTATAGCTTACTCCATGAAATATAACTGAGATCAAATGCATGTATACCTTGAAAATATATTTGACCAAACTGAAGATATTGAAGAATGCATTATTAATAAGGAGAAAATAATAAATCAAAGACAATATTCTTGCTACTAGGAACTAGTCAAACAATTAGGGTTTAGGAAGTACATTACACATAACAGAAGATCAAAGTGGAGGAAACTATGAAAATTTTTCTGAGTACTTTTGTATAAATTATAGATTTATTTGAAGAATAATTATATGTACTTTTAATTATAAGACCAAATATAAGAAAATAATGTTTTTACCTAAGTCATAATCAAAATGATACAACCATGATTATCAAAAATTTTAATGTATCATAGGATGTATAAAACATGCAGAATCTCCACAGAAATATTTTTCTCAAAAAATCTGAATAATACAACTATGAATTTTATAAGTTTCATTTTATATATTAGTTTCAATTTATATATACATATATTCATAAAACAATATATTTTAATAAATGTCAAGTAATAAGTTTTGTTTTTAAGCCAGTATTATTTTAGCTCATGTAATTATGGTCCTCAAAAAAAAAAAAAACTGAAAAGGATATATTGACAGGGAAGAAGTACAATCATAATAGTTGCTGAGATCCCATCTCTAAAATAATCCTAGAAACTTCTCTAAAAATGATTTGTGCATTATTTTAAGCCAGAATTCTAACCTCTACAATAATAATTCATAATAGTGTACTTAGTCTATACTGCCACCAAGTGCCTAAACCAATTAATTTTAAGATTATTGTAGCAGTTATAAGCAGATTCTTTTAGTGCTGTGACTAGAAATTTGGAAACAGGCTAAGAGTAAACCAGAGTCCCACAATTCAGACATAACAACAAAATCTCAAAAGCATTATTAATAAAACATCAAGAATCCTACCAGCTCACTGGAAGTTCATGAAGTCTAAAAATGTTACTCAGCTTGTAGTCAAATTTTGCTGGAGGAAGATTTTCTTTACATAAATTCAAGTTTGGATTTGGTTGTATATTGATGGGAAATTCTGAATCCTAGAAAAAAAAACGAAGAGCTTTTTTCAAATTTCCAAATCACTATACATATTGATAATCTTTCTTATTTAATATTAAATTAAAACATAAATATTTTATTCTCCTCTGACTCTTCAGTCCTTTGTTTTCTACATTCATTTTGAAAAAAAATGAAAGAAAGACACATGACATGCACATAAGCAATTTTAATTCTACACTGCATGTTACAAGTTAAAAATTACTTTAAAACACATCCTTGGTGAATTCCAATGAAATACACAATAACATTGTCTTATATTATTGTTAATTGTCATTTTTCAACAAGCTTTCCATCCCAAAAGAAATGTCCAAAAAAGGATTTGCACAGGGCAACAAAACAGTGCTTGTTTACAGATTAACTGTGGTTTTCCTCTTAAAACCCCAGGAAACAGGATTAATATAATGGCACATGCTGAAGGTAAGAGACCTCTGTCAAAATCCTTTTAAATCACATACATTAAAATTCATGTTTGCCATTTGTGGGTACCCTCTTTCCCCACCAAGCAAACTCCAGGGGTAACTTAGTCTATGAGAAAGGAGTCCCTCACAGTGGAAAGAAGATATGCTATGCACAGGTACTCAATACTAATGATGGATGGATGAATTGCTCAAGTCCACATATACACAAAAAGAAGTAATCAATTCTCTTCTATCTCACTTAACTCTTTAAAACTGACTTTACAGATAGAGGCATATATTCAATTTCCATCATTCATTTATTCAAAAACCATTTAGAAGTACCACTTTATCCCAAACAATATTCTAGGTATGAGACATGCATGAATGAGCAAAGCGGATGAACAAGTCTTGCCCTCACAGAGGTTACATTCTAATGAATTGTTTAATATACTCTCAGAGCTGGAAAAATGATAAAGTTGATTTTCAAAAGTGAGATAACATTTTTCTGATTAACAAAGTAATACATATTCATATAGAAATTTTGTGCATTTCATGATACTACAAAGAAGCAAATTAATGCAATCTTAGTCTCACTACTGAGATATAATTACTATTAACATTTTGGTTTAATTACTTAATTTGTTCCCTTTCTTTCTCTCACTTTTTACAAAGTTGGGTTGATGCTCAATTATTCATCATCTAGTTTTCATCTACCACTGTATAACTGCATTTTCACATCATTGAGCCTGTTTTGAAAGAATGCTAAGTGCCTTATTTTATGTAATATTCAACTACTTTTGTCTCTTATGGTTATCAACATTATAAACAGCTTTCGTTCTATAAATCTCTACTTCACTGATTATTTCCTTAAAGCAGAGTTCTAGAAGTGCAAATAAATAATTCAAATAAAATAAATATTTGACAAAAACATAATACCTCTTCATAGACTGCTTTGAACAAATGCTGTTTAAATTATACTTCTGCTAGTCACATAGCAATGCCTGCAATTCACTACCACATTTTTGTTAATAGTACACACACACACACACACACACACACACACACACACACACATATATATATATATATATTTACATTTGTTCAACAATTATTTCTTTTGGCTAAAATTTATTATTAAGTCTCTATTTTGTGATAGGAACAAGTTTCAGTTCTTATACTACAGAACAAAACAAAATAGATAAAATTAACTTCCATGTGGAGTTTGCATTCTAGGAGAAGAATACAAAATACAAAAACTATATGAATGATAACTGATATTTATCAAAAATGATAAAATAAACTGTATGAGGTAAAAAGTCCATGGAAAAAAATAATTCACATATAAAACTATTTCATTTACATTTTTAAATTAATTGTTTAGGTTATACTTCTTATGTATTTCTCTTTTTGTTCCTGTACTTATTTTTTTCTGAACTGCATTTTTTGTCTTTTGACCCTTTGTTTTATTGTTGTGGTAATATTTCATTTTAATGATGGGGTTGGAAATGGAGGGAGGGTAAAAAGACTATGTAAAAATATATAGCAAAGTAGATCAAAGTTCAGGCTTATATAATTTTTGATTGTATATAAATATCTCCAATCACAAACTTATTACTACATCAATTTTATCAGCATTGCTAAGAAAATTATTATATAAACAAATAAATCCAGGTATTTAATTAAAACCAACCAGCTAGGTGCTATTGCCCATGTTTCTAGCTCAGAAGAAGATAAGAAAATATAATAATAACTGAATAACTATTTAAAATTGGTTTCCAATAAGAGCTGCAGTTTCCTGGTAATATTAATCCTATATAATCCTATATAGATGCATTTGCAAAACCAAAACATAAAACTCATGTTACCCAGCCAATATGCTGCAATACTCCAAGAGATGTCAGTCATTGAAAGGTAAGCAGCATCAGTGAGGTAAATGTAGAATACATAAATAAGGACAATGCATAAAAGACAGGAAGAAAAATGAGTCATAAAACCATTCTTTCAAGCTACATAACCATTACCATTTCTTTGTATTGACAAGGTACAATAGGAAGGCACACTCAGCTCTCAGTAGTATGTTTTGAAAGTTAGTAGTTCTCAACTCTGACTACATATTTGAAATCTCTGGGAAACTTTTCAAAAAATTCCGCAATCACTGCTCCCACCCCAAACCAATTGAATGTAATAATTACCGAGAGTGAGGCTCTGACACAAGCATTATTTTAAAGCCTCCTATATGAAATAAAAGTCAGAGTCGAAAATCATGGCTTTTTAAAGCAATTTAGTTTTAATGAAACTGGTCAAGCTATTTAACAAATTTACATAGTTATATATTTTCCTGTCTGTAAATTATAACCAAAAAAATGGAATCAAGGTTTTATTTTCTAGTTTAATACCTAAAGGCATAGAAATACCTTTCCTTTGGAGTTACCTTCTAAAAAATAGAACGAGCTACACAGTAATTTTTAATACTATAAAATAAAGCTAAGCCCTTACACATTTTATAAACAAAATTATACCTGTTCCATAGGCTACTATAAGAATTGAGTGAGATAACCTCTGTAAAGCACTCATCATTATGACTGGAGCCTAGTAAATCTTTAATAATCATTAGCTATTACTGTTTCTATTTTTATTATTTTTGTAGTCAATGACACATGTTAATTCCAACTACTTAGTAAATTCATTTTGAATCATTTCATACCTATTTATTATAAAATAATTCTATATTAACAAAATTATACATTTAATATTCTCCAAGGATACTGATTGAAGCAAACTTGATTTCAGTGTGTTCCTACTTGTCAGAATCCCAGTCCTATATCTGCTTAACAATTGGCTATCTTGATGTGTCTCAGCATCAGTGATAATAGAATTTCTTGCTTCATGAGCCAGTTGGAATTAAATCTTGTCTTGCTCTTTATATACAAAGGATGGAGGACCTGATGGGTATCAATTTCTCTGTTTCAGTAATATATCATCTAGGGATTGCATGAATCTCTCCCTATGAATAAACCCAGTTATGTACTGAGACTCTTTCCACATGAGTCTATTGGGTATCCAGGCCCTATACCCATGCCACTTGACAGGAGACTGCTTTTATGTCTTGTTCTTAGCCTTCCATTGAACCAACATTCATGAGAATTATCCCAAGCAATTTCTGAAAAAGTTCAAAATTATTCACTCAGGCCTACACTCAACACTTCTCTACTCTGTGTCAGGCACTATCTTAATTGCCAGGTCACAAATATAAGTAGAATTCATTTGTTCCACTCTAAAGACTCCAATTTCTATAAGAAAACAACATAAATGAAAAACCATATCATTGATAAACACTTAAGTAGAAATATGAAGAAGCTATTATGGTAAATAAGTAAGTGATAAAACTATTGGAATGGGGGCATCCAATTGTCATTAATTGTAGATAATATAGATAGATGGCTAGATAGTGTGTATGAAATCAAAAGGAGAAAGGATCTGTAAATAGACCATATTACTACATATGATTAATAATAATGAGTGAACTTCACATATGCAATGAATGACATAAAGTTATAAAATAAAAATATTCCATTAACTCTAGTAACAATGATATAAAATATACAATAAAACATTAATAAGAAATGTGTTTCTTTAAAGACAGAAAACTACTTTTTTCAGAGATACACAAAACAAGGCCTGATTAGTTTAGATATTTCAGGGACTCAGCAAGTCTGTTGACAAAAGTTTTAAGTTTGATTTAAGATTGAATTCAATATGAATTTGGGGGCTTATCTTAGAATAGTTAGTCTTGCTCTCACTGACAAAACATGTTAGGAAATGGTGATAATTAATCATTGGCCATTTACATTAATTTTTTAAAAGATAAGGTTAAAACTTTAATGTTTTAAGGTCAAACTTTTAAAAATAAACCTCATTAAAATAGATTTTAATCAGGGTTTTCTTTCTTTATCTTAACTCCCCATGTGAACAAGAATTTATAGAAATGGAGGGTTTTGTTCAGGCTTCCATGCCCTCATTATTTCATTCATCACTCAAGCAGTCCACGGTACCTGTGGACTTCACACATCACTATGAATGAGTGACAGCTGACATTATCAGCAAGCTCTGATTGAGCTAATTGACACTCCCAGTCAGTAAGAAAATTACAGTGAGCCAGGGAAAGCTTTACTTATAAATTTCTTTAACTCTTTAATGTCATGTCCACTTGCATTTTTGTGGCCTTTCGTTATAGAAAGAAGTATTACACTTGAAAAATACTGTTTTCCTAAATGTACTTAAGTATTTTTTTAAATTTAGGACTCCTAAATATCTAATTATTCTTTAGTCTCTCTATCACTGAGACATTCTGTACTTTGACCCATATCAAATTAAGCTGAAACAAAAAGACTCACAAAAATAAAATATACAGACATTGAACTATCACTTGAAAACTCCACAATGTCACCACATTTTTAAGGAGTATTTCTAGACTTAACAGTTTATTCATGCCATAAACTAATAGAACAGAGGTCCAAGGTGTTCCTGATTTAAAAGCATAGGGAATGATGTTAGATTTAGACTTAGAATGTGCAATATTTTTC